CAAATTCTTCTGCTGAGACTGAAATGTTGAAAAATCCAGTGAAGACTTCAAAGGCTGACTCCCCACATGTGCATGGCCTCTCACAGTTTTTAGATCTTTTCATATCTAATACGCCATGGGATCCAGTCACCAACCTGAGCGGGAAGGGATGGGAAGGGACTTGTGCACTGACTGGTGAATGTGGAAACTAAAGCCAGGTAGGTTAAAGACTCTTGCTCAACATCACCCAGCTCAGAAGGGGTGGAGGTGGGCACAGTCCCAGAAGGCCCTCTGAGGTCTAGCCTGCTGCTCTTCCATAACCCTGTTGGCCATTGCTCAGCCCACCTGCAGATGGGTGGCTTAATCAGCAATCCGTGGCTTTGTGTATTCAGAGAGAAGGGATCCAAATCAAGACCCCCATCCTGGAGGAGGCTCCTTTCAGTCTGCCCTCTGCATTCAAAATCACGGTGGGAACTACTGATAGGTCATGCTAATAGCATGGTAAAGACTTCAGTGGTTTTCCTCCCAAAAATCCTTGGTCTAATAAAACATCAGACAAACCCACATTGAGGGATAATCTATAAAGCACCTGAATGATATTCATCAAAACTGTCAAGATTTAAAAAAAAAAATCTGTGAAGATTATCAAAAACAAAGAAAAACTGAGAAACTGTGGTTTCCTGGAGGAGATCCTGGAACAGAAAAAGGGCATTAGAGGAAAAGCTAGTGAAATCTGAACAAAGATTGCAGTTCAGTTAATCATAATAATTGCCAATGTTGGTTCCATACTTCTGATGAAGGTACCGTGATGACATAAGATGTTAACGATAGGAGAAACGAGGAGATGGGTTTATGAGAACTCTCTGTACTGCCTTTGTAACTTTCCTGCAAAACCGAAATTAATCCAGAATAAAAAGTGTATTTAAAAGAATTTTAGTGAAGCACTAGATACTTTGTCCTTCCTGTTGAATCTTCTCCCAATAAGCAAGGATATATTTTATATTTAGCCAGGATAATTTTCAAGCCAAGGACAGGAACTTCTCCGATTTGGTTCCTAAAACCCCACACAAGACGGCCTGGTACTAAGAGTCAGCTAGCTCCTCCCCCTGGAGCCTGCCATCTTCTCCCTGTCACAACACAGCCTGGCTCTCTGAACTCAACCGAGGCGCCAGGCCATGTAGGATCTGGACACTGAGGGTCAAGGGGAAGGACAACCTCCTCACTGCTGGGAATGGGCTGGGACAGGTGGCCCATCTGAGGCCAGGAGATTTCCAGGATTCCGTGTGTGCGTGCATGCATGTGTGCGTGTCTGTGTGTGTGTGTGTGTGTGTGTGTGTGTGTGTGTGTGTGACAAACAGGCAGACAGACAGACAGACATGACAGGGAGACAGAGCCAGCGCTGAATGAGGAGGTCAGGGTGAGCAACCCGAAACACAATCCTGGAAATAACCTCTCAGCAGGGAAACAGCAAGTTCTTTTGGAAACCAATGAAGCAGGAAAGCAGTGTTGACCAACCTATTGTGCAGGTCTTTCTATTATTGGTAAATAGATGAAAGGCTGAACCTGTCCTTCCATACCAAGAGTAATAGTCTTCATGATTCTCCCCTTTCTGTCCTCCGACCTCTGAGAGCATTTGGTGAGGAGCTTTCCACTCTGAATTCTGCCAAGAATCCCTTCTACACATAAACCTTCCTGTTTTGATTCCAATTGTCACTACAGCTCTCCTTTCTCCACCAGACCCTCATCCTTCTCTCATTCTCCTCCTGTCCTAAATAATTATTCTGCTTCCACTGAGGCCACTCTCCTGAGGACTTAGCCTGGCCTGTGTACTTGGTGGCAGCAGCGATAGCTCACAGAGCACAGTCACTCCAACCCACGGCTCCTGAGCACCCTTAGGGGCCAGGCAGTCATCTCAGACAGGTACCGCCTCAGAATCTGCTCAGGGCACCAGCATGCACACTCGACACCCAACGTCCTTCCTCCAGAGCGACTTTGATACGTTTGCCCATTACATGGATGTTTCCTTCTCAACCGGCTCATTTAGGAAAAGTGAAGCTTGGGTGAGGGTTCAGTTAGGAAACAGAAAGCACAGGAGTAATTTTAACAGAGATAATAAATGTAAGTAGTTGCTCACCAAGAATTGGAGAACTGAGAAGACACAGAAGGAACACTGCAGTGTGCAAAACAACTGTAGGAAGCACTCTCAGCCACCACTGGAGAGACGCAAGGAAGATGTGGGGCCACATGCAGAAGGCCCCATAGAGGTGGAACCCAGACCTCTGAGAAAGGCACACCACCCGGCTAGTTTTGAGAGTGTGGGGAAGAATGAAAGCCAGACCTAGCTGTTTTATTGAAATCGACTGCCAAGGTGAAGAGCATCACCAGGTGATGTTGGCAGGAACTGGAATCAAGCACCAAGCAGCGTTTCCTTCCTCCTGCTTCCTGTCTCTATGTAGCACCCCCTTCTAGCTGAGCCCATTAGGAATCCTGAGGGCAAAGGAGAGCTGTGCCAGCCCCAGCACCACAAGGCAGAGTAGGAAAGAGTAAGTGGGAATTTGAGACACAGTTGTTTACTAACAACAAGAAGCCAATGGAAACAGAAAAGGAAGACAAGGTATAACTTTACAATTGATCAAATGACTGTTCCATATATCAGCTATGTAAATACACATACATGCATGAACAGATCATATTCTAAAGGCAACTTCCAACTTCTAATAATATCTGATATTTACTGAGACTGTCCCAGGAATCAGACAAGTGACCTATTTCAGCCCTCACAACAACTTGAGGAGATAGATACCAAAAGAATCTTGGTTTTATAGATGGACACAGGAAGACTCAGAGAAGTTAAGTTGCTTATGCTGCTCACAAAGGGGTAGATCCAAGACCCGATCCCATAAAGCTCATGCACTTATCTGCCAAGCTCCACAGCTACAAAGCCTGATGTCCCTTCTCACCAACACTGTCCAGACCCCTCCAGCCAGAGGGCCACCAAATCCCTCTGTGCCCAAAGTTGTGGTGTTACCAAAGCACATCCCAAGGGCAGGCTCCATGTTAAAGCACACACACACGCACACGCACACACATGCGCGTGCGCGCACACACACACACATGCACACACACACAACGCCAAAGGAAAATCAGGAAAGAGTGCTTCCATATCAACGCACTGGCATCCTATACAGTCAAGAAAATTGTGATATAGGCACATCTATTAACATGCCAAGATAATAACAGCTACCATTTCATAAGATGTTCCCATGTCCTGGATACTGTGTTAAGGGCTTTTTTTAATCTCACCATATTTTATGCTCATAACAACCTGATACAGTACATCCAATCATTATTATCTCCATTTTGCAGATGAGGAAACTGAAGCACCGGAGAGGTTACACAACTTACTTAAGGTCCTACAGATAGTAATTGTTGGGCCAGTATTTGAAACAAGGCAATCCACTTCAGAGCACATGATGTTAACCATCACACTATTCTGACTTCAGGAGAATATAAACATTTTCATGATACCTTATTCTATTAAAAAGAAAATGTGAATAGCTAGTATTGTGCCTGCCTATAAAAAGTGAGTATACACACATGTATTTACACGTACTTACAAATATATAGGTGTGGGGGGTGAATTTTAGTTCATAGGGCAATGTCTGGGAGGGCTTATAACAAAATATTAAAAATGGATATCTCAGAAATGTGGTTTGATGTTTTTAACTTTCTTATTTTTGTATCACTGCACAGTTTCTGAAATAACCAGTCTATGTAATAACACTTTAAGGATTTTTTCCAAGAAATAATGTCATCTCCGGGAAAATGATCTGGCAATTTGACCGGCTTTACAATATCTGGAATGGAAAATAAAAGAGGAAACTTATGTCCCCCACAGACGTGCACAATAGAAAAGACATTCAGCAGCATCCATGTCACTTGGGCAAGATAAGAAAACAGTTGTCACCAGTCATTTGCATACCTGAACAAACAGGAGGCAAGTCCTGCGCACTGTTTTAACCGCGCTCCTGTCACGGCACTGTCCAGGGGGGTTTGCAAACGTACTGAACACAAGCATGATTATTCCACTCTGAAACTCATGCCTTCCAGATTGTAATCAAGATCCCTTGGTCCCTCTGAGCGCCTGACACTTTTGAGCTGGATAGCATTGTCTGTCATGGTAGCTGTGATGTTATCCCTTTGCATCGGGAGTATTCTCTCCAATTTCCCCAAGCCATGTGTTGCCTTGGAAACATCATGATTCTTATAGAGATCTAAGCAAGGGAAAATAATAAAAATAATAAAATCTTACATGTAAAGTCTATCTTTCATGCTACTGAGATGCCTTGCTAACCCCTTTCTCTGGATGAAAAGTCTGACAGAGCAGCTCCTGTTGTGTATCATGCTGATCGTTAACACTTAGAGAAAACACGCTGGTGTCTGTGCTCTGGATAATTCAGGTCAAAGTCATTTCCCACCAGGATGAAGCAGGTTGTCAAGGCCAACCCTTTCGTGAACAGAAAGATTCAGTCCCTTTTCCAAAGACACTGACATGAAGAAAGCCTTTGCAAGAGGAGACGAGGAAGCACTCTGCCATCCGGGCTTTAGTGCAGGGGTGGCAAACCTATGCCATGTGTGCCGCTGCAGGGTATTTGCATCATTAAAAGCTCTAAAGGTTTCGCTCTCACAGGTCTAGTGTAATCCAGACAGCCCTCCCTCAGTCTAGAGCTATGGGCAGCAAACTTGTTTGGTAAAAGGTCAAATATTTAACATTTTCAGCTTTGCAGCCAAACTGGCTGTGTCACAACTACTCAACTTTGCTCTTGAAAGGCAAAATCAGCTCTACACAGGAGGGAAAAATGAATGAGCATAGCCATGCTCTAATAAAACTTTATTTATAAAAACACACAGTGGATTATATGTGTGTGTATGTGCATGTGCGTGTGTGTGTGTGTGTGTGTATGTGTGTGTGGTATTCAAAAATTACCCCGAGGAAAACCTGAGAGTTGGCAAAGTTGTTCTCATTGGTTTATTCAGTACTGCATCCCTTAGCCAGGCTCTGGTATAAACATTGGGAATCAGAAGTAGAAAAACAAAGTCCCTCCCTAGAGTTTATGTTTGATAGAGGAGGACATAGTAAGCAAGTTAAAAAAAAAAAAAAGAATTTCTGGTAACAATAAATGATATAGCCAGGGATTTAGCTCAGTGGTTTTGCTGCCTGCTGTGTAAGCTCAAGGACCTGAGTTCGGTCCCCAGTGCCAAAAAAACAAACAAACAAACAAAAATAAATGATATAAAACTATAGATACTGTAGTGGGGAGTGGGACCCCCCTTAGGTCACATGGTCAGGAAAGACTCTCAAGCAAGCACCTTTGAACTCCCATGAAAGTGAGGAGAAGGAACTGCAAATGTAAGACCTGGACAAAGAGTAGGCTCTCCAGAGTCAAGAACCCACATCAAACCCACATCAAAGGGCAGAAACAAGAATAGGCTTAATGGGTTTGAAGACCAGAAAGACCAGACTGGCTGGAAGTGACATGTTGAACAAGCAGAATATAGTTTCAGGTAAGGCTGTGACAAAGGGGGGGGCGCGTTTCATGTAGGACCTTCTGAGTCATAGGATGTCACCTAGGCCTCCCCTTACCCCTGTGTGGCAATCCTGGCTCCCTGTAAACTCTGAACTCAAAGGCTCTGGACATTCTCAGCACTCCCTGCATCCACCGGGTGTGGCTAGTCCTGAGCTTTAAAAGATGTTTTGGCAGAACAGTTTCCCCTATCAAGTGAACACATTGGCTTTCACCCAAAGTGATGGAAGACAGATTTAAATCAAATTAATGCAGTGGTAAGATTTTAGGCACTCGATCAAATCTCTTCCAAGCACCATTCTTTCCTAAAATCAATGTTCAAGCCAAGCAGAATAAGGAAGCCACTAGCCAAGTGATTCCAGGGCCATCTTTGCAAAATAAGATGTTAAAAACTAAAAACAAAAAAACCTTTAGCTTCTGTAGTCTCTATTCTCTGTCAACAACAATAACCTGTAAACCAGAAAGCATAGAATACACATGGTTAAGAAGACATCAAACTCGATGTGAACTAGTAAGACAGTCCTAAGCTATTTGAGATGAGATGAATGGGCCAGGCCCAAAACAATACAACCCAGGGTAGGGTGGGCATCTCCAGCATCCGTGTTAGAACTGAGACTTGGACAGGAGATGGAAATGGCAATGCTCATCTTTTCAAAAAGGGTTAGGAGGCAGATTCCAAGACTACCAATCTCAGAAAAATAATAAGAGGTTAATGAAGTAGTAGCATTTCTTGAACAATAGGAAAGTGGTAAACCCTAAAGCCAGCAAGGTCCACTAGGATCAAATCTCAAAAGGTCTCCTTGCTCATCAGAGAGGGTGGTCACATGCAACAGAAGTTTATTATACAGCCAAGTTTGAGCACCAGGGTGCAGCAGTATACAAGGCAGACATAGTGCCTATCTCCAACAGTGGAGGTCTGTAGGACTGTGCCACTGGGCTCTGTCCTCAGCCCTATCTTGTTCATCACTCTTCTACGGAGTCCTAATGGGGTGGGCTGAAGCTAATGAAAAGAAATGCAATACGAATGTTACAGGTTGTATTGAAAATGCCGCCCAAATGCCTCGTGTGCTATAAGTGGGGCTTTTGGAAAGTGAGTCATGGAGGCTCTGCAGCTAAATGTTCTGTTAGGAAGAGGTTCAGCCACAGAAGCTGGACACTACAGGCCTGACCTGGAAGGGAAGAGCTCCCTTTCTGGCTCCTGCTTCTCTCTCTGATTCCTGGATGCTATGATGCAAGCAGCTTTCCTCTGCTCTGCCCCTCTCCCACACCGATACTCCCCTGGAGCCAGTCAGCCCTGGACTGTAACAGTGGACCAACATAACCTTTTCTTTCTTTTAGTAGTGGGTGTCAATAATTATGTCCCAGCAACAAGGAGCAACCAAGTCAATGAATAAATACTCAGTCTGTCACAAATTAACCTGAAAGTATAGGATGTAGGCTTCTGCTTCAAAATAATCATATGACCACAGATGCTTACCTACTTTCTCTCCCAGGCAAATTGAATGGAAAAGTGGCATTAGTGGGTGTGATATTTCAATAAATTGTTGCCAGTTTGCCTTACAGAACCTTGGAGAGGCTACAGACTTGATGAAATTTCCATGGAGAAGGGCAGGGTTGTATAGAATTGCATCTGAACATCGGAAGCCCTGTCTTTCTTTCCCACCAGACATGCAGGGTACAGTAGCTCGTATGTATGCCACCGTACTCACCACCAGCTGTCCCCAGGGAGGAGAACAGGACATGGAACTGAACAATCCTAAATAAAAGATGCACACAGCAATGCTTTGGTTTCCTCCAATGTCAGCCTCCTTACCCACTGAGCCAAGAGCAAAACCGGCCAACTGGGACGATCGTGATCTTTACAGAGGCAATGCTCAGCCAATAGAAAAAAAGGAAGGCAGAGGAAACAGATATAATCCAGGAAGCAAAGACTTGCAAAACAACGACAACGAAAGAAAAAAACCTAATCAGTTTCCTTAAAAATGGTATTGCATATAAAAAAGAACAGAATATTATGAAAAATAAAAAAGGATAAGAACAAGCTTTCAAAATTATAAATATAGCCTATAGAAGTAAATGAAAGAGTTGGGGTATAAAGTTGAGGAAATTTAAGTAAACAAAGAACTGAAAATATGGAGACAAAGTAAAAGATTTCACAGACAAAACATAAAGACTGATGTCCAACCAACAAGAATTCCTGAAGAAAAGAGAACCGAGAAAGAGAAGGGAGGAATTATTACAATACATGAGTGAATGGATCTCCAAGATGAAGGACCCATGTGGGCCCAGCAGAGCGATGACAAACGACCCTCAACAAGCCTTCTCATAGCAGAAATCTGAGCTCTAGGGATGAAAATAAACCCATCAACGCTTCAGAGAGAAAAAGCAAGCTATTTTCAAAATACTAAAATCAGGCAGATAGGACTTCTCAAGAGCAAAGCCATATCTCAGAGGAGTGTTTCTCAAACCATCTGCAGGTAGCCAAGGACTATATTTTGTTCTCAATATGTGGGTGACTGCTACAAAATAACGTGCAAAATAAAAGTAGACTAGCGTACGAAAGGAAGACTAATAAAAAAAAGTTCAAAAATATGTATAAATTGAAAGCCCTCTGTGTTTTACCATAAGTTTCACTAGACACAAAATGACTCAGTCACATTAGTGACAGTTTCAAAATGGTTCATCTCGGTTTCTCGACTTCTCATCACAGATGGAAAACAAAGTTTCCAGACTGACCTGGGCCATGGACCAAACTCTGAGTAGCAATGCAGTAGGAGAAAGGTCTTCAGAACTGCCTTCAGAATTCTCATTCTCAACTCACAAGTCTGTACCCACACTGCCATTCCAGTGTGATGAGAGCAGAAAGATGCAATGTTGAGTCTTGAAAGACTAAGGACAATGTACCCTGCTGAATTCTTTCTTCAGAAGCTAAGAGGTGCAAAAGCACAAGGACGGGAAATTTAGAGAATCTAAGATAAGTCCGGGTCAAAGGGAGCTCTTGGTGGACGTCTCTCTCCGTCATCCCCAGGTCTACAGCCTGGACTGCAGGTGTGGGTGTGGCTTCCCCCGAAAAGCCTTCTGCCTTTTATCCTTTGTGCAAACCCACAGGTGTGCACCTGTGCTGGGCTAAGGTTTCATGCACATCTGCTGAGGCAGCCAGCAAGGAGGGGGCTAGAAAGAGGAAGGACAGTGATTCCAACTGGCTCCAGCCGCCCAGTGTATCAGTCTGAGATCTTGAGCTTGCTTCTCTTAGACTGACCGTGGACATATGCAGAAGCGGCCAGAAGGTTTCCTTCTCCTGAGGTCTGCTGAGGCGTCTTCCCTCTTTCCTTTGCACCCTGGAAGTCTTGGAGAAAAATTAAAAATCTAAAATATTTGTATTCCATTCAAGTTAACACCACATTTTCTGTAATTATTCCTGCAGCTAAAATCATTTTGTTGTGGGCTTTTTAAGCAAGAGGAGGGGGTTGGGAGCCAAATTAATTCCTTGGCAACAAAAATCTAATTAATCAAGCACAGTTCTTAGTCACTCAGAGCCTCTTCAGCCCATGGAAACAGCAGCCAAAAGGGAGCAGGAACATTTAACTCGGTAAGTCAGGAAAAAATAATCAGGTGTTTCTTCAGCTACCAGTAGAACCTGTACAAGTGGGGCCAGTCTTGGGTCATTCTGAGCTGAGATTCAAGCCCAGTTCTACCACTTCCTGGCTGTATGACCCAGAGCACATGACTTTGGCCACCTGATTCTGTTTTCCCATCTGTAAAATGGGAATAATAATACCCTCTCATAGTGCCTATAAAACCTTCACAGTGTTGGTCACATTGAAAACACTGTGTTGATAATGATTTATTAGCATCTTCACACACTGCTGCACTTACAGAAGTTAAATTTTGGGAGGAATCATTTTTAAGCTTTTCAAAAGCTTTTTTAAAAAACTGTATGTATTGTACTTCTGGGAATACATGCTGAGGAAATAAAAGGAGATGTATGGAGAGGACAGTTAGCTGTAGGGATGTTCATTGAGCTGTTGATTCCAATCAAAACAAGAAAATCATTTCAGTGTCTTAAATAAGGATTGGTAAAATGCATCATGGTGTACCCACAAAGTAAATAATCACTCTTGAAATTACTACCATTAGTCATGAAGCATATTCTTCTTCAGAGTTAAATGAAGAAAAGCTTAGGAAGCCAGGTACCAGTTTTCAAGTATGAGCCATATTTACTTTGTGAAAAATATTTTGTATCTGTGTGCATATGTATATACAAAAAAAAAAACTTTCCTGAAATATGACCAAGGGATTTTTTGGGTGATTTTGTTTTGGCTTTGAGTGTTTTTTATTTATCCCATGTGTATTTTTAATTTTCGTTATGAATATATTCTTTGTGATTTAGAAGTTTTGAAATTTTACTTTGCTCTTTATAAGAGAACCATAGATTTCCTAACACTGTCCAGCCTTGTAGCTCTCTAGATGCGATCCTAGGAGAACTTAAAGCCAGGCCTGGAGACTTCGCAAATACACAAGATGCAGTAACCTGGTCCCAGTGGTGAGCCTGGTTTTCAACCCCTGTGTTTCTACCCTGGCCACTAGCACTGCGCCCCTAGCTTCATGGGCAGTCACTTCTGTGAAAGACAGAATTCCATGCTGGTGCTGAGGTCCTCAGTGATCACCTGTAGGGTTTGTGTGCTGAGCTGTACCTGACAGCTTTTGTCATCTTCAGGGAGAAGGAGCAGGTGAAATCCCGAGTGCCTGCCATGTGACTTCTCTTTACCCCTTTGCAGAACATCCAGCCCTGCACCAGCATCTGGGGTGACACCCGGCCACAACCTGCCTGTTCTCCTCATCCCCAGCCCTCAGCTGTCATCTGCTCACACAAACGAAAAGCTTCCAGGGCTTCAGAGTCTGAGCTGGACTTGAATCCCAACTGCTCAGCTACAACCTGTCTCTCTTCCTGCCTCCCTGGCAGAAACCTCCGTCCCATCTCTGATATCAGTCACACAGAGCGCTATTATAGCTCAGGTGTAAAGATTGACATCTCACCCACAGGACCCTCCCCACCCCAGTCTTTTGGCTCAGGGGCTGCCAACTGGTGGCCCATGGATTTTGGCCCTTGCCCTGGGTTTTGAAAATGTGAATTTGTTGCCAACGTGTAAATATCATGTAAGTTTTCATGTAAAAAATTAAAACTTGGTTTCTTGCTTCTCTTGGGGAAACCTCACTGTCCTGCCTTCCTAATGCAACATACGGCTATTGCTGAAAGAGGACTACGGAGCTTGGAAAAGGGCTGGTGTTTGACTTCCCATAGGCCCATTACCCATGTGTGATTCTGGCTTCTGAAATATCTGACTTTTCAGACTCTACCTTCAGAATGCTGCAAAACAATGAATGGTGGGCAGGAACCTGCAAAACTGGAGAACAACCTGCAAGCAGCTGCCTTCTCTGCCCTTGTGGAATCAGGTCCTGATGCACAGGTGAAGAGTGCTACCCAATGGGATGTGAGAGAGGGCCCCCTTCATTATCCTAATTCCCAGATCCCTGGAGTCAGGATGTGCAGCAAGGTGCAGGTTTCTCCGGCTGCTTACCTTCAACCTCCACTTCACTGTGCAGGTAGGAGCTCAGACTTGGAGGGGTAACCACAGCATTACACAGCCCAGGATGGTTTGCAAAACCCTCTCCTCTCCAGGATCCCCTTTCATCTTCACAGCAGCTCTCAGTGGGGAGGGAGGTGGTGCTTTCTGCACATCTGACACACGAGGAAGGCGAAATTAGGCTCAGAGAGGAGACGTGCAGGTCTGCGGCCCAGGTCTGCTGATGCCGATGCAGGTTCTTCCCATGGACCCAGGCTGCCAGACCAGAGTTCCTTCTGCAGGGATTAGGACAGCAGCAGCCCAGGGAACAGGAAGGGGAAGCAGAGCTGTGGTTTTCCAAGATCTTTAGATCAATTGAGAGAGGACTAAGCTACAAACAAAACCAAAACTGCATTGCGGAGAAAAAAGGAGGAAGGGAAGGCAGGAAAGAAGGAAGGAAGGGAGCAAAGGAGGGAGAGAGACAAAAAGTGCTTGTATGGGGTAAAAGATGACTATCCAGGTCTTATTCATATTTTCCCCATATGATTGGGGCCTAAACTAATCCCACAACAAGCCTCAAGGGCACAGTTTCAAAATCCTCTGGACTTCCACCCACAGTCCATGCAAATCCAAGAAAGCATGTTAAAAACCAATCTTTGGGCACAGCTGGACAGAGCAGAAGGGTGATGCTGTCCTAAGAGTTGCCAGCTCTGATTCGCTTTGAAGTCTGGCTTTGAGACTTCAGGCACCATCCCACACTCTTATGCAAGACGTGAAGCAGATGTTCATAATGAAATGGCACCTGTTGGCTCTCAGGTGGAAGAAGCAAACTCAGGAGCAAAACAAATGTCACATGAGATGGACTACTTCACCTGTAGAGGTAAAAAATAGTAAATGGGAAATTGAAAGAATGCTAATGGAACCCTCAAGATAGGTTGACTAGGATAATCTTTATTTAGTCGCTTTAACAAATACTCTGTGTTTCCATGTATGGATCTACAACAGTTACAAGGTGGGCTAGGACAAAGCTGACCCTCATGAGCTCACCATTCCAGTGATGTGTTCCTCTGGTTTCCTTCATGTTGGTATCACATTTTCCAAATTAGCCACCCACAGTAGTATTGCTGGTCATATCTCTTTCAAGACCTTGCTACGCTTCTACCTCAGTGTTTCTCCTCCTGTTGATTCTGAAAGGCGTTTGTGACTTCCTTGATGAGTAGCTCCCAGCAAAACAGATGCTGCCTATCTCCTGAGGCTAAGTCACAGGGATGACAATCTCCATCTGCTTCTCTCTGGGGGACACTGTCTTGTGAACTGGGGGAAGCAGCACCATCATGCTAAAGGAAGAGCAAGCTAGACCATGTAAAGAGATCTCCTGGGTTGGCCGATTTGGAGAGGGACTGAGGCCCCAGCTCCAAGCCAGCCTGAGTCACAGACAAGGGAGTGACTGAGCTATCAGATGAGTCCAGTCTCCACCCCCCTAGTCTTCCAAGACTTTGGGAAGGGTCTAGATATTATGGAGTGGACACAGCTCATCCCTGCTGTGCCCTGCCTGATCTTATGAGCCATAGAATCTATGAGCCTAACCAGTGTTTGTTTTACAGCACTAAATCTTGGGCCATGTGTTACTCGGCCATAGTAAGTGGGACATCCTGGGTCTTGAGCAGAGCATAGGCTTTGAGAACCAGGGAGAGCTGGATTAATACCAGCCCTGCCAATTCCCAGTTGTAAGGGTCTGTCAAAGTTCCTTCATCTGTGAGAGCCTCACTCTTCCTCTCTGCAGCATAAAAGTAACATCTACCGCACATGGCTGCTTTGAGGAACAATATATCAAGAGCAACTAACCCAGAACTGCAGACATAGAGAACTGCTGGGGCCGGCTGGACAGACTGTAGTCATCCATGACCACAACAGCTGCCAGACAAGGGTGCTTGAAATAGGTGGAATGGGCATGGCCTTGAACAGTCTGGGCAGGAGGAGAGGAGGAACAAGGCTTCCAGGTGGACCTGGAGCCAATCCCCTGGCGGAGCCTCCATATACTCCAGGTTGAGTCCAGATGTGTCTACCTCCCCCACAGCTCCGCAGTCCCTGTCCCAGGGCTATGGAAGTTACCTGGAATTTTTGCTTTGCGCTAGAAACAGTTTTGCCCATTGACCTAGTTTCTGCCCACTCTTTGTCTGATATCCCAGAAAACAGTTAAGCAAAGAAGCTGCTGAGAATTCAGAAAAAATCCTGGTAAGTGCCCAGGGACTCTCCTACCTCTCCCAACCCCACCTGCTCCAACCTGAGCTTTGACCCACTTCCACTCCTGCACCTGCTCTTTGTATTTGTGGACGTTTCTTGGTTGCATCAGACTGAATTCAAATGCTCTCTCTGAGGCCTCTGGTTCCTTCCCATCTGCTGGTTCTTTCTGCCCAAGCCCAACCTCAGCACCAGGCTAACCAATCCAATAACAAGAGGATACTCTCTATTGGCCACCTGAGCCAGGATCTTCCTCCCCATATCTCAGATAAACTCTAGCAAGCCCTGTGAGGCTGCTGTTACTGGTCCTGTTTGCGATAAAGAAACAGATGCCACTCAGAGAAACTCCATTAGCCCAGGACATCAACAAGCTAACGGGAATTAGACACTGGATTCAGCACATTCTTCAGCCCGGTTTGTTACCTGACTTGGCCTTCTTAGCATGTGTACACCCACCCTGCCACTTGTAGTTGTAGCAGCCCATTGCCCACCACCTCCCTCCCTTCCTCTGACCTAGACTCTTCCCCTGCAATCTGCAGGCAGTGGTCTGGATACAGACCTCTCTGTTGCCACCTGCTCCTCTCGTCTTCTTTCGCAGCAGCAAGGACACCCCCATCACCGAAGGCCAGGCTACCTTGGATGATGCACGTGCTTGAAGTGGATGAGCTACAGGTGACAGGAAGAAGGTGGACTTGGATGAGGGAACTCACAGAATCCAAAGAATGTAGAAGCAAGCCCTGGGGCAGCTTCCCCAGTTTTGACCTTTCCTGTGATGTCATTTTGGAGCTTCTGATAGTCAATTAGATCTACAGATAAGGCCCCTGGCCCAAAAGCACTCAGAATCATGATATTCCAGCGTAGAAAATAAAGTGTGCCTGATTTTCCAGGCCTTCACACTTACTGCTGCTAGTTATCAAAGTGAGTGTCAAGAAGTTTATTGAAAACTGTCCTTTCAGTGCAAGGAAATTGAAAGCGAAGTTATCTCCAGTTGTCAAGAACCCAAGTCAACCAAAGTAACACGGTGGATGCTCAATAAATACTTCCCTGCATGCGCAAGCTGACTGTAAGTTCCATGAGGACAGAGGCCAGCCCTGTGCTGCCTACTTCTACACTCCCAGTGCCCAGCACCGTTCCATGTCATAAATTCTCTGGGGGGCAGGGATTATTATAGTCAGGGGTGGGTTGACGAGAAGCTAGGCCTCCATGGCGACAAAGGGAAGGGTCAGATGAGAGGGTGCAGGGAAGAAAACCTTGGACAGATTTGGTATGGAAGGTGGAGGAAAGAGAAGGACCCTGGTACCCCTGACTTAGAGCCAGAGATACTGGAAGGTGCTGGAGACTCTGACCCCCCAGGTGAGGCTGGGAGGACAGGATGACTGGGACAGGCAGGAAGGCTGGAAGGCAGGCACTGCGTGCTCGTGCTCGAGAGCCAGCAGGATCCTCACAGCTGGCCAGATAGGAGCCACCCTCCAGGGAGCCCTGTGCAGAGGTGATAATGGAGGCGGTGGGTGGAGGAGAGAGGAGGGAAGCAGTCTCCAGGGAAGAGGCGGAGCCCAGGGAGGTGGGCACAGTTAGCCTGGAGATGGAAATGCCCAGCTGGCACGTGGTGGCCACTTCCCGTCAACAGCAGAGCTTCCTGTGTGAATGAGGCGTCTGGTAAGGTGCTCTGGGTACAGTCACCAACCCCGGGTTGCGAATTTTTCACCTAAAGCTACAAGAACTCCAAGGCCCAGGAACAAGCAGAGACCGTGGTCACAGAAATGATGGACAGGGGAAGGAGACTTTGAAAGACAGCTGGCGCATAAAGGCCAAAAGCAGTATCCAAAGAGAAGGAGCTAAGTGCCTGGGGAAGAAAGCAGAGCTAGAAGGGAGGGCTAGAAGGTCACCTAAGGCAGAGGGCAAAAGAGCCCGGAAAGGCAGTGTGACCACAAGGGGACAAACCAGGACCAGGAAAACCGCAGGGATGTGAATTTCAACCCAGCAGAAAATATTTTTTCCTTCCAAAGACAGGACAGAGTGACAGGTAAGATGTAAATGTCCCATCACGAAGAACGTTCCACCAAAGGCTGGATGCTCCTTGGAAGGGACATGGAAGACCACACTGAGGCTTCATCTGGGGTATGGGGCCAGAGAAACAGGATCTCTCCTACCCTGGGGCACGAACTCTTACCAGCCACCCCACCACTCCTATCTATCACCCTTCACCAACTCCCCCTTCATGAGTATCACCCACCAGCTGATGTTTCCTTCTTTATGTATGAGTTTATGACTTCTCACTTTCCTCCTTTCCCCTGTGCAATTATCCATCGCTGTAAAATGCATTGTTATGTGTTTGTGTCCTTTCAAAATTCACACGCTGAAGCCCCCACTCCCGTGGGATGGGATTTGGTGAGTGGATTTAGATGAGGGAGGTTGTGAGGGTAGAGCCCCTCGGTGGGATCAGTGTCCTGATAAGAGAGAGCCCAGGGTTCTCCGAGGTTCACTCCTGCAAGGTTATGGTAAAATGGTGGCTGTATGCAAGCCAGGAGGAGTCTCACCAGACACCCATGCTGCTGGCACCCTGATCTTAGGCTATTCGGCCTCCAGAACCATGGGAAATTGTTTGCTGTGAAGCCATCTCTTTTGTGGTAGCCTTAACCTGCACTGAGCCAGAAACTGTCCCCAAACTTAGTACCTTAAAAAACCATTTGCTGTCACCGTTTCTGTGGGTCGGGAATCCAGCGGCAGCTAGCAGGGTCCCCTGACTTTAGTCTGACAGGCCACAGTCAAGGTTCTGGCTGGGGTGTGGTCCCCTGAAGGCTAGGAGGAGGACCTTCTTCCTGCTCAGGCCTGTGGCTGAGGGTCAGAGGCCACCCCCCACCCCAGTCCCTTGCCACCTGGGTCTCTCCGAAGGGCATCTCCACCGTGGTGGCTTTGACTCATCAGATCAACCAAG